AATACTTTTTCTTTTTGCATGAAACAAGTTTTTTTTAATTCGTATAATAAATATATAAAACTTTAACAAGAAATATATGATGGTAACTTTTTTTTTTTAATAAATTCATTGAAAAAATAATTACGCATCTTATAAGCCAAAAATTTGTACAAAAATCTGTATAACTTTATGATAATTTTATTTTTAAAAAAATTCTACTAAATATCGTTTATTTTGCGTTAGAACATTTTTATCCACAAGCGATGCAATATAATATTATTATTGAAATAATCGTTTATATCTCATATATATCAATCGTAATAATAATTATTATTATTCTAAACCTTTATTTTACTTAAGACAAATATTTTCTATGCTTTTATATTAACACTGTAATAATATTTACAAAATTTGAGTAACTTAAAGTTATATCTTAGCTAGAGTCCTATGATATAGTGTTTAATATTCATTTTCAAAAAAGTAACTCTGAATAATACGATGAAATTTGTTTAAAAAAATAATTACACTTTCCCGAATTCTTTTAAATTAAAAATTATTTAAACAAATTATCAATGATGATGATAAGGTGACAAATTTTCCTATCCTTTTCTTAAAAGAACGTTCAATATTTATTGTTTAATCAAAATTCCTTATATTACAGTTATTTTATTTATTTATTTATTTTACGCCAACGGCATTTCAATATATACAATAAATTAAAGGTTAATGATAGTATTTACAACAACAAATATATATAAGATTATAAACATTACATGTTAGAGCACAATATAAATTAAGAAAATGAACAATATATGTTTGCATAATAGCAGATATAGATCTAATAATTATTACTAAGAGTTATTAAGTACACGGAGCATTCTATGCAAAGGATGATTATTGGAGTAATTAGTACTGTGAGAGGGAACAAGGTAAAGAGAGTGATATCTATTATAATGTACAGGTACTCGGAAAGAAATGGAAGATAAAAGGTCAGGAGCATCGACTGAACCACTAAGAAGTGAGGTGATAAATGAAATATCGGCATCTAATCGGCGAGAAGATAGGGTAGGAATGTTTAGGGATGATCTAACGGACGAATAATCATGAGGTGGGTGTTCAGTATTAAATAAAAAAGCGGCGTAGGATAGGAATCGGTTTTGCACTCTTTCCAAGCGTAGTTGGTCTTTGGCCAGATATGGGTGCCAAACAACTATTCCATACTCCAGAATAGACCGGACAAGAGTGAAATAAAGAGAGCGTAGACAGGCATGGGACGTAAAAAGACTAGTATTACGCTTTAAGAAACCTAGAACTTTCAAGGCTTTACCAACTGTGATATTTAAATGCTGCTCAAAGGACAAAGATTGAGAAAGATGGAACCCTAAATCTTTAACGGTAGTGACACGTTCAAGAGGAGAGCCATTCATGGTATATTGATAAAAAATAGGAGTTCGTTTTCTATGAAAGGAAATAGTGTGGCATTTACTTATATTGAGCGAAAGGCCAATATGCTGGGTCCAACGAAAAAAAGAATCAATATCTGATTGAAGCTGGCTGCAGTCAGAGATGGAATCAACTTTAAAATAAATTTTAATGTCATCGGCAAATAGAAGGACTTTGGAGAATGAAAGGCAACTACTAATCGAGTTAACAAAAATATCAAACAAAAGAGGACTAAGATGTCTCCCTTGGGGAACACCAGAAGGAGTAATGACTGAGTCCGATGTAGCACCATTGATTTTCACAAATTGCCTTCTTGAACTGAGATATGACTGGAGCCATGATAGTAAAGGATTACCAATACCGAGCGATCCCAATTCAGAGATAAGACGTCTGTGGCTTACCGAATCAAAGGCCTTATTAAAGTCCGTGAATACGGCATCGACTTGACAACCATCTTCGAAACTTTCTAATATGTACGTTGTGAGAGCTAGTGTACAGGTGTTAGTAGATTTGCCTGGACGAAAACCATGTTGATCACTTACTAGTATATGGTTAATACTTCTTTTAATACACCTGTATATGATGGATTCAAACAGTTTAGGTATGTGAGGGAGGATAGAAATAGGCCTATAATTAGAAACGAGTGTTGGATCACCAGATTTTAAAACAGGAGTAATAGAGCACGTTTTCCACACAGTAGGAAAAATGACCTCATCGAGTGAACGCCTAAAGAGAAGAAATAGAGGGTACACTAGAGAATTTTGGCAATTGTAAAGTAGACGTGCGGAAATACCATCAGGCCCATTGGAATTTTTATTTTGTAGTGAGTTGAGTGCAAGTTGCACATCATCAAGCGTAAAGTGGCAATTAGAAGGAAGTTTTAACGGATAAATATTATCTGTAGAGGGAATAAAAGGAGGAGAAACAGAAGAGTTATACACGGAGTAGAAGTACTCAGAAAATAGATTAGCATTATCACGAGGGTTATCAGCCGTAATGTTATCCCAATGCAAGGTAGAGGGCAATGTATTGTGTTGGCCTAAAACCTTAAAATGTTTCCAAAAGGAAGAAGGATTGAGAGTGAGCAATTGCTGTGTATAATTAATGTAGGACTGATAATCTATTTTAGATAACCGTTTACATTTCGCTCGAAGTTCAGAAAAAACTAAGTAGTCACTCGGCAACTTAGAATGTTTAAAAATTACATGGGAACGTTTTTTCTGTAGAATAAGATTTTTAAGTGTAGAAGAGGTCCAGAGAGGAAATTTCGGTGATTTATAGGTTTTAGTAGGGACAAACAGCTCAATGGAATGAAGCAGAGCGTCATTAAAAATAGAGGCAGCATCATCAATTGAATATTGTGATAAGGTGGCCTCCCAGTTAAATGAGTTAAAAAATTGTGAAATAGCTGCGTAGTTTGCAACTTTGAAGTCCTTGTAAGTGTGAGTATTATCTGCTACATCGTCATTTTGGAAAGGAAAAGTAATGTGAAGAGGTGGGTGGTAGGGATCAGGAATGACAAGTGGTTCTATTGCTGCTCTAGTAGTGACTTTACTGGAGTTAGAAAATATAAGATCGAGAATACTGCCATGACTATTAGGAAGGAGGTTATGCTGAAAGAAATTTAAAAAAGAAAAGGAGTCGATAATAGTTGTGGTGACAATATTATGATCATCAGTTGCAATTAACCCAAGCTCATCAGACGACCATGTAACATTTGGGAGATTGTAGTCACCACAAAGGATAACTGAGTGAGGTTTGTACGAGGATATAATTTGCTCAACAGAAGTGACATGGGATTCCATTATTGGAAGAGGAGAATTAGGGGGTATATATACACCACCTACCAATAGATGGTGAGAGTTAATGGTCAGATAAGCAAAGATTTGATCAACATTCGAAATACTTAGCTTAATAGGATGGAATTTAAGAGATTTATTGAAGGCAATTAGTACACCACCTCCTCTTTTAAAAGAACTATTGTTTGGGTTTCTATCAAGTCTTAAAACCTGATAACCAAAAAAACCAAGTTCACTATCACTTATGTCAGGTGTAAGCCAAGTTTCTGTAAGGATAATTACATCATAAGAGTGGAACGAAGGAAAGGAACATCTTAAATTGACTAACTTAGTTTTAAGACCACGTACATTCTGATAGAATATTTTTAGATTGAAGTTAAGAGCATTATTACATAAACTATTGTTTTTAATATTATGATTAACATTAGGTTTAGAAAAAGAAGTTTTAAAATTATTAAAAAACAAAATAAAAGAGTTTAAATTTTGTTGAGCTGAGTAACAATAAGTACAGTAAGAATGTAAACAGTGAGTGTGCGATGGATAGTTAATGAAAGACAAATACTGGTGTTGCTGAGAGATGAAGGGGCAAGAAGTCGCATTTAGTTTTTTGCAGTCCTGAAAGCGCTACTGGTAGTAGGGTTATTTGCAATAATATGAGGAAATCCATTTCTATATCTAATACTTATGCCTAGTTCTCCTTGATTTTTCCGGTTTTCAAGTTCCTGGTAAACACGTCGAATTTCCTGTCTTTCTAAGAGGGTGCGATCACGAGACACCTGTATTTTTTGTAAATTATTATCAGCTCCTACAGAGCGTTTAACAGCGTTAAAATCAACAACAAAGTTAAATGCTTGTTCTTTAGTTGGAAAAATAATTTTTAGGGCCCTTGGTTTTGTCTTATTAGGACGTCCTAGTCTAAAAAGTTTGTAATCAGAAGGAATGGACATTGACGTAGGTTGGATGGTTTCATTAAATTTTGTAATATCGTCGTTTGCTCGAGGAGAAGGTGAAGTTTCAGATGACTCTGGGAGACCATGCACAACGATGTTGAGAAGAGATTTTTCTCGTTCTGAAATTTCATTTAAAACATTTGGTAGAAGGCTATCATTTTTTGATGCAGATTCAAGAAAAGAAACCCTTTCCTGAAGGGCAGAAATATCAGATTTAATGACGGCGTTTCCTGCACGAATCTCTGCTAATTGAGATGAAAGTAAGTCAACGCTATTTTTCAGTTCGCTGAACATTTTATTAAGTGAAGAGCACAAGGTTTTGCATTGCTTTTGGGTGTTTTGTATTTCAGCAAAGGCTAGCCGAAATTCTTCCGCAGAAAGAGGGGTAGATGAAGGAGGCGTAACTTTTGAAACTTTGGTAGCTGTAGTAGAGTTTGATCTTGTAATAATTTGACATGAAGAGGTCTTGGGCGAGTTACTCATGTTGATCAATACTTAATACCAGCGTTAAAGTCTCCAAATGATAGGTTGATGATGGTATCGTGTAGTGGTAGTGTAATGACAGTACCCAGCGTTTAAGTCTCCGGAAAACATCTGATGGCAATAGTGCGGAACAAAAACAAAATGATAAGAACAGAAATAATGATCAATACTCACAATAAGTCGCAGAAAAAAGAACTGAATAAATTGCCAAACACCGCGTTAGGCAGGCTGAATCGACTTCCAGAGCTCAACAAAACCTTACGGAACGGGTGTTAGTCACTTTAGAAATAAAGCGTGCACAGATTTATAACTCTACTGTTTTCATAAAAATATAATATTGACTATCATGTTATCAATGTATGATGTTAAAATTATAAAATAGTTATAAAAATCGAACCTTATAGTATTTGTTAAATATACAGTCTAAATTCTCAATCTTATTTATTATTTATTTTCAATTTTGTAGCATGTAACTATTGTAAGAAAAGAGGGCACTTGGCCAAAACTTGTAAAATAAAAAAAAAGCAGCAAAATCTACAACAACACCAACAACAACAACAGCAGCAGCAGCAGCAGCAACAACAGCAGCAGCAACAACAACAGCAGCAGCAGCAGCAGCAGCAACAACATCAACAACAACAGCTACAACAACAACCAACAGAAAACTGCTGCATATTATAAATTTATAATATGCAGCATTTTTCTGTAGTGTTTTTTTTTTTTAATAAAAATTTTATAAATAACTACTTATTTGTTTTTTTATTTTTATCATTTTATTATTTATTCTAAGGTGTATATAAAGTAATCATATTGGATAAACATAGGCTGCATGAGTTTAGTACTTCAAATATACATCAGTAAACACATATCATTTGTGATCAGCAAATGATAAAAATTCGAAGTAGAGTTAAATTTTACATTTTTGTATACATTACGATAATTTAAGAATCTAAAAATATTTTACTTTAAGCTTGGTCACTACAAACTCTGAAATAAATTTTAATTCAATGTAAGAAAAGAAATTCTCTATTTAGTGTTGTGTAATGTACTACAATTTATCTCAATAGTTGCTTTAAATTATGCATTCAGGTTGATCAATTTATTTATTATTATTAACTTTAGGACTTGATATATAAAAATTAGTATGGTCGTAATTTCAAATGTGAAATACTATAGTTTTTCAGTATAATTGCGAAGTTGAGAAAGTAATTAAAAAAGTAGTGGTTTGATTTCAACATTAAAGTCCAAAAAACTATAAACTCAAGTTTCAATATTTAATCTTATTTTATCTTATTTTCCTTTAGTAAAATACATTTGTTTAAATTAAAAATTATCAAAAAGTTTTTTGGTGATGTCTAAAAGAAAAAATTTTAATTAATAAATTATTCAAAATACATTATGATTAAAAGTCGAGAAAATATTCATAACATTCAATTTACAAATTTGTTTAATGGTCTCAGGAATTTAAATGAACAAAGCATTTATTTTTAATTAAAAAGAAAATTTGACGTAATTTTGTAACTATGTAGGTAATTTTTAATTAGTATTTCTAACATGTTTAAATTACATATTAAATAAAGAAGTTTTAAATACAATTTTTTTTTTGGAGGAGGTTATTTAAAAAAAAACAACTTTGGTACTTGGTAAAATCAATTAAAAATAATATAAGGAAGTCTAAAAAAATTGTCATCAATCTCTACTTCTAGTAGTATCTCTACTATATGTTATTTCAAAATACTAATAATATGTTTGCATTTTATTTTTTATATGTAAATACTCATTTTTTACTAGTTAGCAATAATATCAAAAATTAGAAGTGATAGAAAAAGTCTAATTTTAGATTTGAAAACGGCGCGAAAAGTTGATTTAAAAAAGTATATTTTTGATTCTGATGAATGTTTCTTGTAGTCCAGTATATTTATTCATAAGTTACAAAAAATTCATTAATTTGTTAAAATTAAATATTATCTACAAATTTTTTTATATGCAAATACTATTTTTTAATAATATTAAAACTTAGAAGTGATAGAAAAAGTCTAATTGCACATTTGAAAACATTGCGAAAAGTTGATTTTGAATAGTATATTTTTGTTTCTGATGAAAGTTCCTTGTAGTCCAGTGTATAAAACTTATAACTTTGTTAACTGTTATAACTTTAACAAAAATGACCAAATCAGTATAATTTTTTTTATTTAGATGCATGTCTTTACTTATCATTTGTTTTTTTTATAAATCTAACTCTTTACCTGCCCACAAGTGGGATTCAAAATTATAACTTTCTTTTTTTTTAATTAAAGTAAATCATTAAAATTAATTCAGTTCTGGATATTTCAATTGTAGAATCTTTTTAAATACTAAAAATTACTTAGAAATGATTACTATGATTTCTATTTAGGTGTTCTATTACGACAAAAATACAAAAAAATAATGAGTTTTTCTGATAAATATACTGTAAATAGTAATTATAAAATTTCCTGACTGCATATTAGTCTTAAAAATAGCATAGTTTTAATTCTCATAAAAATTTCTATTTAATGATGTCAATTTCAAACTTGTAATTGAGCTAAAAGTGATTGTAACATATTCAATTTTTTTTACTATAAGCTTTCACAAATCTTTATCAAAAATTTTTCATCAACTTTAAAGAACCAAAAAAATAGGTTAAAAATGAAAATTTGGACTGATTATTTTTAACATATTAAAAATCAAATCAGTAATAATTTGAAAACAATTTTTTTTTCTTTTAATTATTTTATATATGTAATTAGTAATAATATAAAAAATTAGAACTGATAGATAAAGTCTAATTGCAGATTTGAAAACAACACGAAAATTTGATTTAGAAAAGTATATTTTTGCTTCTGATGAAAGTTCCTTGAAGTCCAGTGCATTCATTTATAGTAACAAACAATTTTTATTGATAATTATTGTATCAAGCCCTTTAAATTTTTATACACGTAAAAGTAAAGCAAAATATAACTTCTTTATTATTTTTATAATTTCTCCGTATAAATTACAATATTAAATTACTGAATATCAATTGTATACTAAATTTAATAATTATAATTAGTATTTATTCATATTTTATATTTTAAAATCAAAGACTTATTAATCAGGATATAATCAAAGAAATAAGAGTTGATATTGTTTTTGGAATAATCTACCAATTTTTCTAAATAAAACACTATCTACAGATTTGCATCGAAGCATTTTTTTTTTATAATGATTTTAATCACTGTCAGATATCATTATACTTGATCCAACTATGCCACGTCACCACTTTGCCGCGACCCCCCTGTACTGGGTTTTTTTATATTAATTCATTATAAATTAAAGAAAATTATAAAGCTACAAAGCAATTATACTGCAATTAAATCGCTCATGAGATTCTAAGTAATTTTTAACAAGTTGAAAAAATTGAAAATTTTTTTAAAATTTTTTACTTTTATCAACTTTTTTAAAAATGGATGAATAAAAACCATTTTGTTTAATAAACACCTTAGATATTTTCTTTTTATTAAGTATATTTTTTGACCCTTTACCTGCCCACAGGGAGAAATTCAAAATAGCAATTTTGTATTAAAAGTTAACTTTTTCAACCTTACCTTTGAAAATGTTCCGGAAATACTCCAAGCTTCAAACATATGTTAAGTTATAGGTTACAATGCACATTACAAGTTAAATTTAAAAAAATTGTCCCGAAACCTCATCTAATCACCTTAAAAAATTACAATACAAAATATTGAATATCAATTTCATACTACTTTAATTTCTATAATATTTGTTTATTCACGTATTATACTTATAAATCATAAAACTAGTCATCAGGATATTATTAAGGAATTAGGAGTCAATGTTGCTTTGGTATAACCCAACAATTCCTTCTAAAAATTAAACTCAATCTACAGATATGCATTGATACGATTTTTATGATAGTGATTTTAATTACTGTCAGATATAATCTATACTTGTATCAACTAAGTGAAATTCTAACTGTGCGGGTTTTTTTTTGTTTTTGAATAATAAATATATATATTTTAAAATTACCATTATCATGGATCAATAAAAANTTTTTAAAGACTGTTGAATCACAAAACTTTCCTTGAGCTCCCACATCAATAAAAGTAAAACAATAATTTGCATCACAAATAGCCATAAGAACTATTGAATAGTAATGTTTGTAATTATAAAAATCTGATCCACTCTGGATTGGTTTGATTAAGCGAATATGTTTTCCGTCCAAAGCGCCGATGCAATTTACAAAGTTAGCATCGTTTTCAAAACCCAAAGCAATTTCTTTCCACTTTTGCTGATCCGGCAAAGCCATAATTTCAGATTTAAGTCCCCATAATTCGCTGCATACATCTTCTACTATTTTACTAATAGTAGATATTCCCATTCTATAGGAGTAATGAAGGTCTGTGAATGAATTACCCGATGCTAAGTATCTATAAATACGAACTAATTAAAATATTACGTCAGTATTTATTCAAAAAAAGTTAGTATGATTTTTGAGTAATTACAAATACCGTTAAGTGGGTAAGATATCGTGTGTTAATAATAAAAATCTCAAAATATGAATTTTCAATTTAATTAATTTTTTTTTAAGTATAAAAAATAACTTTTATTAAACCCTTAATATTTTCCTATAGAAAAAACATCTATTCCCCGTTATTAGATTGATAATTATTATGTAGTTATTATAAAATTAGCCTCTTAAATAATTTATTTTAAGTAATATTTATTACTTACCTTAATGTTATGCACAGCCTTTCTGTCGGTGAAATAGGTACGCGAAAGTTACTATTTACGGTTAGCCCCTTTTCTAACTTTGAAAGTAGTTCATCAAACGATTTTATCGACATTCTGAAATAATTAAAGAATTTCTCCTCGTGGTCTCTTAATTCAGAAAAAAGGGTTGCAAAAGCGCCTCTAAGAGGTCTTTGAAGCAACATCAGGTGAACCCAAAATCGCCTATTTTTTTTTATTTTTGAAGTATTCTTTTTTAAAATGTGCCTGTAGACCGCAAAAGCAAACATGCATCTTGTCTGTTGGACATTCATTTTGAAAATAAATGGAAAACGCTATAGCAAAAACGCGGTAAAGTGTGAAACAAAAAAACGCTGCGTATAAGAATATCGTATACGCGCTAGTGTGAAACGGGCCTTACACCTTATTTTACGTTATTTTTTCGATGCGAAGCTGAGAAGGTATTAATTTACTTTGATGTGTTTTTTTTATTATTTCTTTATTTTTTTTTTGTGTCTGTTACCACTTTTTCTCAGATCTCTCCGAACCGATTTCTTTCAACGATACGTCAAAAGATCACAAATCGTATCTAGTCGAAGACATTACCCTCAAAAATTATAAATTTAAAAATCGCTAATTTTCCATTAAGACAAATAAAGTCCTCTATATCTAATGTTTGTAAGGTACATAAGGTATCAGGTATAAAATGGTAATAAGTTCTATAACGTACGCGCGCCCATTAGCAAAGCAAAACAGTAATCTATCAATATCATAAAATTCACATTTTGTCACGTTACAATTTTATACGTTTTGAAAGGAATAATTGTTTTAAGTTTTACATTATTATATAAGGAACTAGCAGATCATGTAGCTTTTGGAATAATCCACCAATTTTTTAAAATTAAACACTATCTAAAGATTTGCATCGAAGCGTTTTTTAGCTTCGATGCGAAGCTGAGAAGGTATTAATTTTACTATGATGTGTTTTTTTTTT